GAATGTCAGGCGTAGGTGTTCTAGCCATTAAGTCGGTACTCCTGCTGGCGCGTTCTGAAGAGCCCCTCCGATGCCTTGAAGGATGTACCCAAGCGGGTTGGGGGCTGTAGGCCGTTGAACCGAGTTGATCCGGTTCTCGATACGGGTATTGGTGGTCCTCATCTCCTCGGTGAACTGAGCCGCCCTCATCATGTAGTTGGACTTCTCGTTCTGCCTGCGGTTGGCGAGTTTCGTGCCGACCCCAGCGAGGATATTGTTGAGGGAGATGCCGCTCAGACCAGCACTGTTGCCGGAGAGACGGGCGGATGCCATTGCCTCGGCACCCTCGATGTTCGTCTCTTGGGCCTGATCGATGTAGGCGTCCTCCTCCTGAAGCATCCTCAAGGAGAGTTGGCGCTGCTCATCACGACCAGAAGACAGGGCGTTGGTGTAGTTCTGTCGCCACTGCTTGGCCCGCGCTTGGTAGTCTTGGGATGCAGCCGCGAAGGAGACCACACTCTGCATGACAGAGGTAATCATCGCTGCGCCGGGAAAGCACATGTTGTCAGTCCTTAACGTAAACTTTGAAGGTCAGGCCGAAGGGGGGAAGGTCCACCTCCCCCAACTCCTCGAAGCCAAGCCAGGAGAGCCAACGGAGGTGGGTGGTGTTTCGGGCATCGGCCACACAATGGAGGTCACCATAGCGGTCGATCATTTCGTCCACACAGTTGTGGAGGACCTTATGCAGGGACCACGCCCTGTGGACCGCACGGTTGGTAGCGAACATCCAGATGCGCCCACCTGAGGCCCCCCACATCGTGAGAGGCCCCTCCTCGTCCACGGCCACGCGTGACATTTCGGAGGACTCAACGGCCACTGGGACCGCGTGGGACATCATGGCTCCCGTCCCAGCAAACCACTCAGCCATGTCCTCGAAGCGGATGTCTCTGAGGATCGACTTTACGTCTTCCTCGGTGGGTACCCGAACTTCGATCATGTTGGCCTCGTAGTGGGGTTCACCATGTAGCGGAGGCTGTCCCAGGAGGAGGGATAGATGGTGTCATTGAGGAGCCGGATGCGACACTCTTCGGTGCCATACCCTACGCGAATATCGAACTCGCCTGAGGACTCCACGGGGACACGGTTGTTGACGACCTCGGGGTCACCGCTGATGCGGGCCGAGAACTCGGACTCTGCCGTCACCTCCTCATCACCCACCACAAAGACCTGAACCTTGTAGGCGGTCGAGTTGGTGTGGGAGACCTTGAGGCTGGCAATAGAGAGACCATCCATGAGGACGGCGGCACCCTGCTGGTCCGTTATGTAGACCTTCGGCAGTTCTCGGTAGGACTTGATCTTCGACCCTACCCAGAGCCTTGGACTGGCTACATCGGTATAGACACGGATGACCGTAGATGACTGCCACTCGGTCTCCAATAGCTGTCCGCGCTGCTCCCCGGTCCCATCATCATTGACGCGATAGTAGGACACGAAGTTGTCGCGCTTGGCTTCCGGCACCTCGTAGGGCAGGGTGACATCCACGTATCCTTCCCCGGTGGCCGAGATGTAGTCCTCGTTCACACGGTGGTCGGCACGGAGAGGGATGCCCAGGTCTTCATCACCTTCATACTCGGTGTCGATGACTTCGAGCGAATAGGTGGAACCCCAAGATACCATCAGGTAGACCTTGCTCCCTTGCATCCCCATCCAGAGGGCACGAGTGGTCGATGGGAAGGTCCACTTGTTCCACGCACTCTGTACGCGGTCTGGCCCGTTGTTGAACCACTGGTAGATGTAGGCGAGGGTGGGAGTGTTCTCTGTGAGCACGGCCATGATGCGGGCCGTAGCACCGAGCT